CCGGGCCGGAGCCGTCTTGCCGCGCTGTGCGTAGGTCTCGTAGCTCTGCGTGCGGTGACGGGGCCCCCGCCCGGCAGGGAAGGGGTCAGGCCTGTGGAAAAAAAGCCCAAGGCGTTTGCTCTCCTCGGCTGTGAGAAGCTGTGAATGTCTGGTGGCGTGTCAGAAATTCCGGAGTTATGTTCTGGCAGTCACAAAAGGGACTGCTGCAAAATAATAATATATAACGTCATTAGCCACCTAAAATTAACATGGAAAACTGTTTTTAAATATTTTATTTAAACTATGCGATTTTATTTAAACTATGCGGCAGCTATCAAGCCTACTCAGTAATCCATGTTTTTATATTAGCCCAAACCTAAAATAATCATGCTCAAACTTCATATAAAGCTTTATTTGAAAGCTTTTGCGTTTACAGTTTTTGAAGGAATGTGCTCAGTAGGGAATTAAGATCTTTCTTACAAATGAATAGACAGTAAGCTGTAACTAGCTGTCTGGGTGTTTTGCAGTGTAAGCAAGAATTTTAAGTTCGTTTTAAAATGCTGCCCTAGATGTGTCTTGCCTACCTGATACTTTCCTAATGTGGCTTTTCCTGTTGTTTTACTTTTGTAGGTGGTCTCATGAGATGTTCAGCACTTCTGTGTTTTTTCTCTGTCCTTTGTGCTTTTGTCTTTGCATTCTTCAACACTTCATATATTTATATGGAGTGTAAGATAAAGCCCCACTTCTTTTCTTATCATGATTTTTTTACTCTCTCGGTTGTTTGGTTTTTTCTATTCTCTTGCAGAATTATTAGCACCTCTGACGTGGTACACCAAACTCAGCTGTGAAAGCACAAAGCAAAATTTCATATCACAATCACTTTTATGCTGAAGCATTAAATTACTCTGAAGCTATTGCTGCTGGTACGGAATCTACACATGATCATTGTTCACTTAGTGAGCAAATTAGTTATCAAGAAGCACGATGAGAGTACTTACTAAAAGTAGAGAAGCATGGATCTGTGGCAGAACTGCCCTGTGTTGAAAATTGTGAGAAGTTTTCTCGGTAAGTAACAGTGGAAAACTAGTGACAGTTTAGCCATTCTTGAATTCTATTTGGTACGTGTGTTATTTTAAGAGGTATTAACCAGCCATACTTCAATAGCTCTTCTTTTTCTTCTTCATCACTGTAGCACTTTTATTCGGTGATTAAATTCAAGACATGGGGCCGATGAAATATAAGTCAAGGGTGTCCTCGGTGTCCTGTGGTCTGCAGTATCACCATTCCTTGATAAAGTGGAGTCCGAAAATGAATGTACACGTAGTGCGAACTTACTGCTCATCAGCACCTAAGAGGCCTGAAGCCAAGTCTGCAGTAGAAATGGCCGTGAGTTTTCTTAATCGGCTGACAGAAACGGGGACTGTTCTGGGAAGAAACTCCCTTGAAAAAATGTCAGCAACATGCAAGAATTGGTGGGACCGATATGAAGAGTTTGTTGGAATTAATGAAGTTCGAGAGGCCCAGGGGAAAGTGACAGAGGTAAACATGGAACTAATGTGGAAGTTTAAAAATAAGGTGTTAACCTGTATGAAGTATAAACCCTGTCTGTGAGGCGAAAAAGGTCCTCCAAGGAGAATCACATGGGTTTTTTCCTGTTCTGATTACCTGTGCAAGTACTGTTACAGTCTTTGCATGTTAGTAAATATAGCTTATCCCTTAAACTGAAATGGATTGCGGTTTGTCTTCTTGGTGTTTCCCCCCCCCAAAAAAAACTCATATAATTAGTGATTTAAATCTGTCTGGTACTAAGTATCTAAAATAAATACTCTTTCTTCTTAGGCTGAAAATGTCTTTATGATAGCTCGTGGGATAGTACGAGAGGCTCGTGAAAATGTAGAAGCCCAGCAGATTAAACTGAAGGAAATTCGAGACCGCTTAGACAGGGTCTCTCGGGATGACACCCAGTATTTGGAACTGGCTACTCTGGAACACAGGTTGCTGCAGGTAATTTGTTGGTACTTGAACACTGGCAAATATGATGAAAATTTGTGTGCTTTGCTTCATCACTAGTGACTGTTTTTGTAGACGTGATTCAGTTCTGAAGTACAGTGATCCGAGTTAACCTCTTGATTTAATTTATTATTATCATTAGTTCAATCTGCTATGCAAATTGTAGAAGCGAAGAAAGGTGAATATAGTGAGCCTAGAAAATTCATCACTGCTGTGGTGACCTGTGCATGAGTAGTCAACAAGGCTGGGATTCAGTGAGTTCACCCTCCAAGCTCCATTCTGATTGTTAATCCATGAAAACTCTCTCAGCTCCCTCCTGTGTGGCTGCGACACCCAGGCAATTCAGTAAAGCTTTTGTCGGCAGTAAGAACGAGGCTGCTCTGTGAGGGAGGGAAGCAATTAGACCAGGTTGAACTGCACAGTGCATCCTCACCAACAGGACACAGTTCTACAGCGTCTCGGCTGGATGAGCCAAGCAGGGCTGGTGGCAGGAATGTGTTTAGTAACAGTGCAGGAAGCAGAGATAAAGGCAAGGTTGCAGCCAAAGTCAATCCAGGACATCCAGATGAAACTGCAGGAAGAGCAGGGAGCAGGCCTGGCAGCAGGTGCACCTATGGCAAAGCGCAGGCAGGGAGTGGGTACCAATGCCTGACCTTAAACTGAGCTCCTGGGTCAGTGGGGAGAACATCAGGAAAGAACTAGAGAGCTGTAGTTTTCTGAATAAGGGATCAGGTCTGTGTGGATGAGACTTAAAGCAGAACAGAGTTCTACATGACCACGAGGACAGGTAGAATTCAAGTCACTGCTATCTGTAAGGTGGTGGTGCCGTCTTACAAAAGAAACACACTTAGGAGAATGAGAATAATTCTGGGAGATGCAGCGAGAAAGGGAAGACATTTGAGAACCAGGTAAGAAAGAGAATGCAGAGGAATAGAAGTCACATATATTCGTGACAACATATCCGAGACATCCTGTCCAGTCCTATTTTCAATTCCCACTTAAGGGATTTAGAGCTGAAAGAGAGAAGTGTGGTAAAGGTAGTGTTTGGCAAAGTAAGCAGGGCAGAAACAATGCACGTTATGGGGAGAGAAAGACCTTGCCCACTTATACCTCTTTTCTGTCATCAGCATGTGACAGATTCTGGTGCAGAGGATCTTCAGCTGCAATTCCTGATAACCTTTTTAATTTCTCAACTTTGACTTAAAATGATGTCTCCTTCACTTAAGTAGGATTAATAGAGAAAATCCCACATTAAAAGGAAGATTTCTGAAACAGAACTGATGGATATTCTTAATTTCCATTCCTTCATCTGCACTGGGGTTTTGTTTTCTGGGTTTTTTTGAGGGTGGTTTTGGTATAGACTTTATGGTTTCATATTATATCTTCTCCTTCAAATTGCTGTATTTCTTGCAGGAGGAGAAGAGATACCGAGCTGCGTATTTAAATGCAGAAGAATCTGAAAGAGAAAAATTCTCTCTTTTCTCTGCAGCTGTAAGGGAAAGCCATGAGAAGGAGCGAACACGAGCAGAAAAAACGAAGAACTGGTCTATTATTGGTTCTGTCCTGGGAGCCATCATAGGTGTTCTTGGTTCCACCTATGTCAATCGAGTAAGGCTGCAAGAATTGAAAGTCTTGGTGCTAGAAGCACAGAAGGGCCCGATAAATTTGCAAGAAGCCATCAGAGAACAGGCCTCCAGCCATTACTTACAGCAGAAGGAGCTCAGTGACGTCATAGCAGACCTGAAAAATGTGCTACAAACAAGGACATCACAGGAAATAAAAGAAGGCGTTTTGTTAACTAGAGAAGATAGGAACAACGCCATAAAAATAGATTCTCTTTTAATTCCTTTAAACGAACAGCTAAACTACACTAAACAAGTCAGTTCGTGTCTAGGCAGTTTACAACAGCAGTTTAACAGTCTGCAGGAAAGTATAGCACAAATGATTTCCGAGATGCAGAGTATTAAAGTTGCAATCCATTCTAGACTTTTCCAAGGTCCTCGGTGGAGGGTAAGGGCGAGGCTTCTGCCGTGAGGGATGTGATTTTAGAATTGTGTGATACTGAGCGGAGACTGGAAACACAAATCAAGAGAAATTCTGTTTACAGCACTGCAGTGACATGTGCTATGTTTGCTATTACTCTGCCAGTACTCTATGTTATACTTAAAGGAAACTGATCTCTAAATAATTGCCACAATTTACTAGATTAATAAAACTTAGCTTGCACTCTAAGTACTTAGAGTACAAGTCCAAATAAAGTTGTGTTAGCATTTCTCCAGTGTGTTCGGAAAACTTGTACAGACTTAGTCCATCTGTTGCTGCAGGCTCCATGTTAACCGTCTTTGTCATGCATTGTGGTTTTTAGCTGTTTCATCTGTGGATTTCACTCACTGCATCGCTCTTTTACTGTCTTGTCTTGTGTATCCTGCCAATCAGTGACTTTCACTCTGGAGCTGTCTTTGTGATTTTTCTGTTCAGACGATTCTTTTAATCAGCTGTTTATCTGGGTGCTTCATGGGTAATCCTTTATAATTGTGCTCCCAATTCCTTCCTGGTTTTGCAGTTTGTCCATACACGAAACATTAGGAATCATTTTACCAAACAGGTAGAAGTATTTGTCCTGACGTTTTTGTTTTGTTTTTTTTTAGTTCTAGGTACAAGGTAATGACTTCCATTGTGTCAAACAGCAGGAGCCATGTAAATAAGGATCGAAGTTACTATGATACAATGTAGCTGTACAGAGATATGATGCATTTAAAATATATTTAAGTTACATATGGTAACCTTTTCCTAGATTTATCATGAAGTATCCAAAAGTGTTTCTGGAGCTTCAGCTGTTTCTTGTTGATATTTCCATGTCCTTAGAGGCTTGCAGGCAGGGAGACAGAAGAAGAGTACAGGTATGGAATTAAGTATGATGATGTTTATTCTGCAGATGCAAGCCAGTTATCCTTTCTGTACAGACTTTCCTTGTTATTTTGTGGATTTAGTAATCATCTATGAAGCGATTGCTTTCTTATCCTTACAAGTATCTCATTGGAACTTACTTTGGTTTTTACCCTTTTTTTTCGGTTTTGTCGTGTCTGAAAATAGAAATGCTACTCTACAGCAGGTACTTTTATGCTGCTACATTAATGGTAATAGCGTTACCAAACTACTTCAGAGTAGTATTTGGAAAAAAGTGAAAGGTCCAACTGCCTGTTTTTTTCCTGGAAGGTTGATTGCGGAAGAATGCTTGTCTGAACAGCTAAACATAAAGTATCCATGGCCTTACACAAAGTTGTTGGTATTGCTGTGATAAGAAGTAGTTTTTTTCCCTGCAATAGCAGCAGATAAGCAAATCAGATGTGGAACTCCTGCTCTCTGAGCACATCTGTGGAACCTTCACTGACGCAGGAGTGACAAGCTCACTTCATGCTCTAATGCCTTTATGTAATGCATTTCAGAATGACTAGTGTTTAGTATTCAGTTTCTATCAGTTCTTGCTAGTTTTTTATGCCCAGTGACCATATTAAAGGAGTTTGAGGGTTTTATTATAAGCTCCTAAAACTTGCAAGATCTTTTTGGACAGGGGCGTTTGCTCTGTAAAGCACCAACTTCATTTGGTATCATGAGGTGCTATTAAAACATGACCAAATAAACAAACAATACTGGGGAAGATCTGTGATGATTCACTACCTGTAGGAGAGATGAAGTATGCAAAAGGTGGTTTGGGGAAGGACCACTACTGATTTATTTGTGGATTGTTTGGAGTGTCAAGTGAATAATAAGCATTTGTCAGGGAATCTGGTTGATCTGATGGCTGGAGAACTGGGATAAAAATTCCCATACTCTTAGCTGTGTCAAGAAGTATACATACAGATCAATACAAACTTTCATATCTATAGTATTTCATTTTCACATTCCACAGATATTTTTACAGGTTATACTTCTTGCAGGAGATTTGTGAAAATCAGACACAAGTGTGTAATTAAAGAGGAAGGGATAGTACAATGGTTCTGTTTGTGATTGGCAGGCACTAGCCACTGAGAATTTTATTCAGGTTTTGTTTTGTTTCTTTCCTGCAGTTAAACTACGTAAAGTTAAGCCCCCCCTTATTATGTAAGTGGCTGAATTTTTGATACTCAGCATCACTTAAAAACATGGATTAGGTACATGAAGATGGTTTTTAAGTGCTGCATGTTAGGCAGCTAAACTTGAAAGTCGAGGTAACGCTTGCTGAATTGTGCTTGGTGGCATCAAAAATGAATAGAGGTCTGAGGCTAAGCTTGTGTACAATAAATAGGATAGAAAAAGGGTTGTTTATTGTTCTAAAGAGATCTGCTTTTTTCCATGTAAAGAAGATATGGTAGTAGGTAGCTTTAACATTACGTAAGAGTTACAGGAAGAAAAAGTCACATCAGTGAGAACAGTAGCAAATACATAGGTATCAAGATGATAACTGGATCTCATCCTTTGTAGGAAGTTTGGAAGATTCAGAAGTAGATTCTGTGTGCAGCATTGTACAAGCTGGCAGAACTCACTGTTACAAGTGATTACTGTTGTTCTCTTATTTCTGCTCTTCCTTGCTAAATCCTCAATGTGAAGTGACAGCAGAATAATTTCAATTAGGGAAAAAGCTTTGTAATTAACTGTGTCTGTATAATAATTAGGCGGGCAGATTTGCACATTCCCTCAATCCTGAATTAATCATCCCTCCATTGTGGCAATGATCTAACCGTGTAGTTTGGTGCTGCGCCGTATGTGTACCCCAAAGCCAGAAGGTGTGGCTGCGACAGTAGCAGCTATACCTTCCCCTACCTGAAGGCAATATCCAGGAAGACGCTCTAACACTGACTGTACCCATAATCTGTTCAGTACTTTATGCTCAATCCTTGTCACAGTAATGCAGGCAGCAAATACCTAAGTTTGAGCAAAAGCAGCACAGCTGTACAGAGGTGTGTAGCTGAGTGCTCACATCAGTTCAGATCCATGGGCAGTGCTGTCAGCGATTCACCCAACACACAGTCACATTTCTGCATGTTTCCTGATGATTCAGTCATGGTTAAATGAATAGTTTGGCGCCTGTGTTCTTCTAGCCTCTTTTGTTGTTTTTTTTTCTTTTTTTAAATGAAGTGTTCTGTTGCATGCCTATGGATTATTAACAAAGTTTTATAATAAATAGTTGAGTTTCACTTCTTAGAATGAGGTCTCTCAGCTGAAGCTTTCCTCAACAAGAAAGTTCTGCTTGGTGAGGCCTTTTGAGACTTAAATTCTTGTTCTTTCTGTGAGCAAAGTCCCGTCTGGGCAGGAAGGCTCAGCCAGCCCTGTGTCCCAAGCACTCATCAGCCAGGAGGAATGATGGTTGTGATCGTTTGTGCAGGTCTAGTGAGGCCAGGGACCGACCTGTGCGTTGTGTGTCGGTCAGAGAGAACCAGTGCTGATTCAAGTTAATTCTGCTATCAGTCAAGACACAGAAGATAAGAGGGACCCTGGTAAGAGCAACAGGAAGCCCTTTGATAGATATTAACTATAAAAAAAGTGGGGAGTAGTGGCCTGAGCTTGGCCCATGCCAAGCTATTTTGAGTTCTTACTGCTCAGTGAGAAACCACTAGTAACTCAAAAGCAAACAGCCTAGTGGCTACAGAAATAACTTTTCATGAGGTCACTGCAGATGGCTAACAGTAGGTGCATTCTGAAGAGAAAAGTTGCCATTCCTTCCACACATGAAAGGAGTAGCAAATATTCCTTACGAATACAGGATAAAAGCAATTATACATAGTGTCACAGTTGGGTTGTACTTATTTACAAACATTTGAGTTTTGATGTTCCAACATTCTAAGATCCTGGTCGGAAGTTGCAGGTGCTCCTGTTGATTTCATTGTGACTGACTGGAAAAGATGGATACCTTCTAAAAACAAATACTGTTCTCTTTGTGAAGTTTAGGAGTGGTAGAGATGTCCTGTTTACTTCAGAAACAGGATTGAGATTTGCAGTAGGAGTGAGGTTTGTGAGGTAGAAAAAGGAGACAATGCTGGGTTTGTCCGTAATATATTTAGAACTGTTTTATTGCCAGATTTTTGCCAGCAAGTTATATTTGTGATGTTCCTCATAAAACATAGAGAAGTGTGATTTCTGGTGTTTGGCAATTGGTGGATAATCTAAGGAGGTGTGTGCTTCCATACAGCAAAAACCAGCTGAGCCGCAGTTTTTAATTGTAAAGAAAATTAAACTTCAGATAATTATGATTGTGGCAAGGTTTTGGAGTTTCCATCATGGGAAGTTTTTAAGAACAGTTCAGATAAATATCGCTAGGTTTGGTACAGATATAGACAGATCCTGTTCTGGTACAGGATGAATTCAGTCAAGAGGTTTCAAACTGTTTTTCTGTTCTAAACCCCGTTTTTTTATCTTTTAAGTAACATGGGAGAATCTATGAATAATTAGATGTCCAAGTCATCCTAGCACAGGTTATCCTATAGTGCAAGTTACAGCAGAATGAGAAAGTGTTGTGCTGAGAAAACAAAAACTCAGTTAACTATGGGCTGCATGGTCTTAGGCACCAGGAGAGAGCGAGAGTGCATGTATATGCAGCTGCCATGAAGTATGACCCTCAGGGTACAGCCTTAGTCATTATTTTTCGGAGTGAAGCCTGTTTTTAGCAGAACTTTGCACACTTCTGTTGTGAACCTTTAAATGGCTACAGCCTGCACTGGCTTTTCTGTGAGTTTGCCCGAAGCAAGCTGGCCTGTTAAAGATTATTCTGTTTAAATACTGGCATATCATATGCTCTCAGGAACCTCCCTGTGCTTCAAGACTTGTTTTGAAAAAATAAACACCCATCATCTGTGTTGATCCAGTGAGCTTATCACCCAGCCCTCTGTATTAGTTTGGTGCATGTAATCTGCTTCAGCAAGTACACCTAATTCTTCTCTTTGTGGAGGTGATTGTGACAGTCTGTGTGGCTTGAGCCCTCACCTGTGGTGCTGGAAAACTTGTTCACGGTGACATTGGACATGCCACACGTAAATGCTTAGGTCACAGAGCTTCAGGATAAAGGATTTGTCCCAAGCATCCCAGGCTTGTTTGGCTGTGTTCTGCAGAAACAAAAGTAAACCTGTGCAAATAGGTGTGTGCTCAGAGAGCCTCTCCCTCAGCTCCTGCAGGTTTGGGGATGCTTGGTGCTGTTCTGGCCATG